CAACACAGACATAAACGCGAGAATGATTGACGGAGAATGACTTGGTCTTAACAAAAGCAGACAAAAGCAAGCATTTGTTTTTTATGAAAAGAGAAACTTACAACAAAGTTTTGTGGATTATATTGAACTTACAGAATGCGAACAGATTGATAGAAAGATTATTAAACATATTGATAGAAGAGAGAAAGCAAGCTAGCAACGTATTAACTTTCCTTTAAAAAATATCGGAACAGGTTAACAGGGATGCCAAGATTATTTCGGTTCGCTAAAACACATAAGCTCGGTAAAGAAATAAGACTAAGAGTGGAAAAATGTAGAGAACCAACATATATTATTGAAAAACTATTGCACAAATACATTACCACCAATCTTGAAAACAGTATATTGGTTGCACAGGACCCAGGAGAAGTAATGAAAGAATTACAAGACATGTCAATGGATGAAGACATAGGGACAGTAATCGACTTTGAGAACTTGTATCCTTCAATGAAAGTATAATCACGTTTTGCAGCATTAATGGAATTTGTTTTACAGATCCCGGAATTAGTTCATTTCTTCAATGACATGACAAAATTAGCAAGATTGATATGCTATGAATCATTTTTTAGCTTTAATAACCAAATATACGAACAAAAAAAGAGGGGTCTCCACGGGAAGTCCCTTATCAGGCTTGTTATGTGTTACGAAAACTGAAAAAAGTATTCTGAATGGCTTCAAAGCAAATATTATATTATNAAGAAATCATCCCAATCATCAAATTGTTCCTCACGCAGCTCTAGCTTTCTATAAACAATACAGAAAATGAGATAAAAATATTACATGTTACCTATTAGATACGTATTAAATAAATATAAGAATCTTACCTGTCGAGACAATCGCCAACAGCTTCCAGCTCGAGCAGTGTTACGAAAACTGAAAAAAGTATTCTGAATGGCTTCAAAGCAAATATTATATTATATACTTTAAAAGATATATAGATGATGTATATATAATTTGGAAGAATGACAAAGGCATCAATGAATATATTGATAAGGTTAACAGTAACAAAGACGGGCTGAAATTGAGGATAAAATAAAAAAGCTCACCACAACTACAGTTTTTAGACATAAATATAGAATTTGAAACGGAAGGATACACACACAAATGTATACATCAAGCCAACACATCCCTTCCTCTTCCAATTCAAATGATCCTTAGCAATACAAATCAGCGGCATTCCGGATACTCATCAGAAGAGCTTTTTTATATTGTGGTAATGTAATAGAATGAAGGAGCTGAACAAAATAAAAAAAATGGCCATAACACTAGGATATGTGACTAGCACGATAGAACATCTGATTAGAAGGTTTGAAGAAAACAAACATAAGATACAAACTAACAAACCTAGTGTAATCACGAAATTTACGATTAACATTATGGAAGAAATAGCAGAACGGTCTAGGGCATGGTTCGGCAACCTGTGGCTCGCGAGCAACATGCGGCTCTTTGGATGTGAAGCTGCGGCTCTTTAGTTCCATACTCAAATATTATTTATTTTATCAAAAAAAAAAACATTTAAAAATCGTTCTGAATCGATTAACGAGGATTAGGCACTGATTCTATCTCTCAGCCACTTGTACTCGCTTTTCACCGCACCCCTCCCCCGTGACACGCGTCGTCACTGTCGTCAGTCCGTCGGAAGCTCTCGAATGACGCCGTCGTCGGATGTTTCTATTATCTAATTTGTTGTGAAAAACACTACTTATATATGAATAAATAGATATTTTTTCTTATGAATAAATAGATTAGTTTTTTTATCAAAAAACTTTATTTATGCGAGTACTATTTATTGTTGGCAAGAAAAAATTTTGTGGCTCTTTAAAAACTTTGAAATTTTGTAAATTGTAATTTTGGCTCTTCCGACTCAAAAGGTTGCCGACCCCTG